CTCACAGCAAAAGAAAACAATTTTCTTAATAAGAAAAAATAATCTCAAAATAAGAAATCTTATTAAGAAAAGATTATTTTTTCTTAAATATTTTCTTAAAACAAGAAAATAATTTTCTTAATAAGAAAAAATAATCTCAAAATAAGAAATATTTGAAAATAAGATTATTTTTTCTTAAATTTTCTTAAAATGAGAAATTATTTTCTTAAAATTTTTAAACTTATTTGAGATTAAATCTGTTTTCTTAAAATAAGAAATTGTTTTCTTATGATTTCTTAGCGTGCTTATTATATACTACAAAAAAACAAGAAAATAATTTTCTTAATAAGAAAAAATAATCTCAATATAAGAAATTTTTGAAAATAAGATTATTTTTTCTTAAAATGAGAATGTTTCTGAAAATTCTTATAAACTTATTTGAGATGAAACCTGTTTTCTTAAAATAAGAAATTGTTTTCTGATGATTTCTTAGCCTGCTTACAAATACATCACAAAAAACAAAAAAATAATTTTCTTAATAAGAAAAAATAATCTCAAAATAAGAAATATTTGAAAATAAGATTATTTTTTCTTAAATTTTCATAAAATGAGAATTTTTTCCCTAAAATTCTTAAACTTATTTAAGATTAAATCTGTTTTCTTAAAATAAGAAATTGTTTTCTTATGATTTCTTAGCCTGCTTATATTACAAAAGCACGAAAATAATTTTCTTAATACAAAATATTCTTAAAATAAGAAAAACGAAATTAAGAAAATGATTTTCTCTGGTATTTCAATCAACTTAAGTATTCTTGCTAGTTTAACTAGGATTCATTGGGATGTCTGGATAATTTACTGATGGTGAAATAACCAGATTGTGTTTGACAGATTATTCATCAATCACTATAGGAATAATGGGTTAATAATCCACCGAAGGTAGTCTCAGGGGTGAATTTAACTATACATATAGTCTGTGTAAATTAGTCAGGAAATTTAACCAGAAACATGCAAAGTAACCTCAAGCATTGCCAAGTAATATATCTGTCTACACAATATTTATACATGTGTGGATGATTAGGCACATGCAGGCATGGTCAGTACAAGTCTAGGGATTTGAGTTACCGGTCAGAATCATGCAAGTTTGTCCAGTCGGGGCATGACCACTGAATGCACAAGCCTGCTTATCACTTCCTATACAGTATCTTTCCCATAGGTGGTGTACATGTTATGTCACCATCGCCATGTTGGATTACATTGACAAAGGATTTTGCTTGTTTGCAATGTAGATTTCATCCAACATGGCAAAAATTTCTTTGTCCTTTGAATCCCATGGGATTGGTTGCACATCACTTACAAGCTTCGTACCCAAGTTCCCTTGCAGTTATTTGTCGTACCCAGACTGTGAGCAATTTTTATATTTACCTTGGTTAGTGTGTAACTTCAATTAACAAGGTCTTTTTATCAAAAGGCAATGGCTGAGGAAAATGCACAACTATATATGTTCTTGCCAGAACCTGTGCTCTGTGATTTTGGTGCAGAACTCTATAACCAAGTTGGCTACATCATTGAAATGGAAGTTGGTTACAGTATTGAAATGGAATCACAAGATTATGGTCAATGACTGAATTTATACAAGAGGACATAGTATTAGTGCTCAATTTTTTTCTGGATAGTTAACTATAGAATTTCAGGTTAATAATCAACCTAACATAGTCCGGTTCATTCAATCATACAATGTGGCTTACTGTCGTTCCAATTGAAGTGTTGCTCAAATATTGATTCAATACATTACCTCAGGCTGACCAATTCATTTCATCAAGTTCCTCGAGATATTCATACACTTCCTAGTATAATTGTAAACTTCCTGTTGAATAGTTTGAATGCACCAATCACCTTTGTTGTTTGTGCAACTAACCAATCATAAATAAAAAGGAAGTGACCAGAAACGATCAAATACTTGGAATTGGCTCTTTCACAGGAAGTGTATGAATATCTCAAGGAACTTGATGAAATGAATTGGTCAGCCCGAGGTAATGTATTGAATCAATATTTGAGCAACACTTCAATTGGAACGACAGTAATTAACTGGGAAATTTAACCAAAAAAATGTGAGAAATCAGAAAAAGTGCTGAATCAAAGTAGATACTCATGCATGAATTTTTGAAAGTTCAAATTTGTTTTCGCAAAATATTATTGTCTATGTTTGTGATGTTACTCTGAGTGCATATCCACACCGGGCGAGCTTGAAAAATATGCCCGGCCACGGCGGGACCGTGGCCGGGCATATTTTCCAAGCTCGCCCGGTGTGGATATGCACTCAGAGTAACATCACAAACATATTATTCACCTGAGTACACAACACCAGCACAGAAAAAATTCATATTATTGTCTAATTAGCTAATTAATTGGTTCATGACTAGAATTGAAATACATAGAGTATAATAATATATTGTGAAATCTAAACTTACAGTTTTAAAGGTCTCCACAAATCCATGCATCGATGCATTGACAGATGATTGATGTCAAATGCAAGTGAAGAACTAAACTTTTAATGGGTTTTTCCCCTTAGCATGTTGTTCAATTAAGTCACCAATGTCATATTTCACAGGAACATAAATTTCTCCTTCACTGTCTTCATGATGGTGAAACACATTGAAGTCAACAAGACTTTCATAGGATGTTATTACAGTTTCTGCTGCCACAGTTTCCCTCACATGATATGCCTGGAACCGTTCACTGAAACACAATGTCTCAAATGGAATGTATTCAAAATAGATGAAGTCACTCACAATCCATATTTGTTTGATCACGCCAAACATGGGTGAGAGTAAATCTTTATCTATGTCACACATGATAACGCCACTCTTACGAAAATCAGTACCATGGCAAACAACCCAAGTTGCCTTGTACACATTTTGGAGCTTGATACCTGGCATCAATCCACAACTATCCATATGTTCCCTCAGATTTCTCTTTACAGACTCTCCAGCTGTGCTCAGGGATCCATATTTTCTTTCTGAAGAAAAAAGAGGATGTGACCTTGCATCTTCGGATAAATCACCAAAGTTGCTACATTCTTTTAACTGACACCGCTCTGCCAATAATTTTGCAAGGTTTTTGAAGTTCTGCTTACGTGCGAGTTCCTTAAAATAGTTATGAGCAGACTCGAAACTAAAACATGAGTGCCGAACCAATGGCCCAAGGAGCTTGATCATTTTTGGAAGATGGATCAGATAGTGTTGTTTCGGAGTGATGTTGATCTCTGGAAAATGTTCCTTGAAATGAGCAAGATGCTCACCAATGAGCAATCTCAGCAAATTTATTGTCTCCAGGCTGATCACAGGCGAGAAAACAATCTGGCATATAGCAAGCAATTCGGTTATCAATGGGTAAATATGATCATCTTCACTTACAAGTGAGCAGAGAATGAATGGTATTAGCCTGAGAAATAATCTTGCTTGTGCAGCATTATATTTCAGTTTATATCTTTCTTCACCTTGGAAAACCGATTCTCTCAAAGCATCCGGTTTGTCAGAGACTTCACTGTATCCATAACACTGGCTGGTAATTGCTGCATTAAGTTGGGCCAAAGTAAACTCACCAGTGCTGATGTAATGCGCTAATATGTGACGAAGTTCATACTGCACCACACCCTCAAGCAATGTGTGCATGATATATTGTGGCAACTGTGTGGTAATATCAAAATCATGCAAATCACACAGTGAACTTCGGTGGTTAATTCCATAGGTAGTCTTTAGGTCAGTCTTAAGCTGCTCTGTTGGTGCCTCGTCAATTTCCTTGCAGTGTCTTTCGTGTGTCTCTTTTGACTTTGCATGGAAATCGTAATCATAAAAACTTTGCTGCATCGCATCGTAATGACATTGGCAATGGCGACATTTGTGAAATGCAAATCCTACACCCACCTTGTAACCTCCCCATTCATGTTGGCCTTCTGTGTCTCCCGCACAACTGACGACTTTCCCAAAAATAACTTTCTCTCCGCCATTTACAACAAAAGGGCAACCATTCTCAAGCTTGTGAATATCTTATTATGAGTCGGAGAATAGCATTATGCCCATACTTCTTTACTAATTTGGCATTTGCAATACCAAGCAATCTCACAGCACAATGCTTTGATCTCAATTTAGGATTTAGATTTCCTATAGTGTAATAAAACATGTCAAGTTTATGTATACCAGCATGACTTCCAAGAGGATTGCAGACTTCGACAGCATCATGATATATGATGATCTGTATGGCATCTTGGTGTTCCATGAAAAAGGGATCATTCTTAAATAATTCTCCATCACATATGTCATAATAAATCCCTGAGTCACAATATCTGGGTTTTCTGATAACCAGTTTTGCAACTTTCTTGTTGGACAGAAGTTGCCGTAAGCTTTCAACAATTGGGATATATATATAAGTTTCATCTTTTTCTACAAGAACTCTTTTGTTTTTCCAGTGCTTTATGGAGATCTTCTTACCAAGTACCACTTCCTTGATTTCCACATAATTTAGATTCTTCTTTATAAAGGACGTTTGCAAGTAGTTTGTTCTTAATGCAGAAAATGGTTTGGGAATATTTGCGAATGTCTCTTTAATAACTTCTGAAAAGTCTTTTGTATGATCATGATTTTCCCATGCATTTATTAAACTAGTTTTGGCCAAGTCCATGTTACTTTGTACTATGCCAGAGGTGCTATCAATGATGTTATCCATGGCCACCTACGAAATTAAAAATTAAAGATCTACAGATATATTTTTGTCGCTCGAAAAATATTCTCATCATACAATGAATTTAACAAAACCTAGACAGTCAGACTTTTAGCATGTTCATTCCAATGTGTATCTTAAGCAAATTTCAAATTATGTCTTTCAAATGTATATATATATAACAAAGACAATAAATTGAATTGGTCTTTCACAATGCCTAAAACAATTTGTGAAACGGATTGCGGCAAGGAACACTTTATGCACTGGAGTGCACACAGGATTTTGGCCAGGGGGCAATAACTTTTATATACTGAAAACATCACAGCATGAACAGAATAATGAACACTTATTTAGGGACCTGTCTTTTCAAAAAATGCTTGTTCTGCAATTTTAATAACAGCTTTTATCTTATCCCACTTTTAAACCCCCCCCCCCTATGGTTAACTGCTGTGTGCCCAGGCGAGTATAGGTTTCGGCAGCATTTAATACAGCCTTGATGTAATACTAGACTAAAAATCGGATCCATGACACAAAATATTGTAGCAGTAATGCAGTATTCCTCTGACAAACACATTGTAATAACAAACCTGAGTTATGTTGTTTCGTTTTTTAACTTTTAAGATGTAGAATGCTTCAGTTCGTTGAAAATCAGATGCAGAAGACTATAAACAAATATTTATATATGTTACTGGTGAAGAAGTTGCTCCTGTAATTGTGTCAACCCCTACATAGCTGTTACACCATGCAATTTGTCTCGCAACTTGTGTCGCAATTTTGTTACGACACAAGTTGCACATGAAATTGCAAGGTGTATCGAATGCCTCGCAACCAACAAGTCTCACAATATTTTTGTTGCAACAACCATTGCACAAAGTAGAATCAGGCAACACTGCAACACATTTTAAAGCATTGTACAGTGTGTAACATCCCTCTTTCAACTAGTCTTGCAATGTTTATACACTGAATGGCTTCCCATTAGCTTTTGACTGACAATATGACAATAATTCGTTTTGACTGACAATATGACAATAATTTGTTATTTCATGGAAAAACAAGTTCCTAACATTACTGATCTGATTCAAGCCCTGATTCAGATTCCTGTACACTAAATAAAATTTGAAAAACAATTTATGCAATTCAGGATCTCAGATTCTAAGTACTTGGTACTGAGTTGTCTGAGACTCAGTACTTTACTTACTACTTGTACCTGTGTAGCATTCTGGCTCATGAATATAGCATTCTGGCTCATCATTTGACAATACAATGCAATATATTTACTACCATTTACTAACCTCGCCATTTGTATTAGGAGCTTCATATAAATCATAGTCGCTGTTGTCCGAAGACGAATCAGAATCACCACCGATTTCGTCACTCTCATGATCCACATGTTGTATGTCTTGATCTAAATCTTGATCCATATGTTGTATGTCGCCATTAATAGTACCATTAATGTCTCCAAGAATGTCGGCAGGGCCTCCAATATCACTTTGGTATTCGTCTTCATGATTCCTCGCCACGTGCTTGTAAAAGGAGTGATATCGCCTGAAAGTGGCAGGGCAGTCGTTCACTCCACACATGACGAAGAAATTAAGCTCTTTGCTGTGAGCTGAAAAGTAGTGACCCATGAGTGCTCGAAGAGTTAGAGCAACGAAAACACTGCAAATACAACATGTCCAAGTCGGGGACGGTTGATTGCGGAATCAACAACAAAGTTGTTTTATTTTAATACATGTAAAATACAAATCGTTCCCAGTCGTTCATCTCCAATGTTCAGTCCACTGACAATGCTTCCACTTCAAAAAAGACGCTGTATGAGTGGGCTGTATGGAATGCCTATATGAGTGACTCAATACCAATTACCAACAACACTGTAACTCCTTCTCTTTTACAAAATTCGTTTTTAAAAATATGGGAAAATGTTTGGAATGTAATAAAACATACAATTTATTGCAACTCCTTTCAAATCTGTTTTACTCTCAGTCGAAATTTCATTCCGGAAGGAGATTCCTCCTAAGTGGAAACGCCACATATATCCCATAATTCCTTTGACTCGGTCTCGCTGCCATCACAAACGACCACGAGGGATATTTGAAAATTTGCTTGTTGTTTGTTCGACTCTGTTGACTTTTGCTGGTTTGTTTCATATTTAATTTGGCGTTAAATTAATCTGAAATATAATCTGTATTGTATTTGAGAAGTTATGGATTCTGAAAGACATTCTTTGATTGTTAAAATTACTGCTGAAGTGGAAGAGATTGGAAAAGTTCTCGAAGGTAAAATATTTTAACTCTTGTGATTGTAATAACATCTACTGTATCATCTATGCCTGTTAATGAATTTTATGATAAATTGTGCTATTAATATGACGACATGGTTAATTTTATAGTGTATTTTTAGTAGTTCTATTTGTCAAAGATAATTACATTTTCAAAGCAAGAAAATGTTTTAAATTTAGAGCCATTGCGGCGATTGCCGTTGGGCAACACAATCTGATTCGCGCAGAGTTGGCTCGATTTTACATCTATTATTTTATATTTTACATCTTATATTTACAACTAATGAGCTATGCTTGAGATATTTTAATTTAAGAAGTCGTAGGTCGTCATAATACAAGAACTAAATATTAGATAAATATGAGTTACAAACTGTATTAAAATAGTCTTCGAACATGCTTTTATGTGCTTTGACTTGGCGGCCATGCGGTCAAGGGGATGCGCGCAAAGCATCCTGGTTGATAATGACTCTTGCAATTCAATTGACAATTTGCATGTTAGACTATAATTTTTGATCTGGGCAAAAAAAGTAAATTCCCGAAAAGAACTTACTAAAATTGAAAATATACAGAAAATATACTGGGCTGAGTGGTTATATTACTACCTTAATATATAAGCAGGAACTCGACGTTTCGAGCGAAGGCCCTTTGTCAAGAGTTAGTAGCCAAAGGCCTTCGCTCGAAACGTTGAGTTTCTGCTTATTTCTTAAGGTAGTAATATAACCATTTTTAATTTATAAGCATTTTTACATTGGTACTACCTACACTGGTACAGACAGTTTTAGTATACTGTATATATTACAGAAAATATAGCCTTGCCAAGTTTGCACATTTTGTATGTGTTTGTATTTATATTTGTATAATATGTTTGTATTAGGATAGCCCGCTTAGCGAGGTAACCTGGTTAGCGAGATCTCACTGTGAACAGTATAATTTATACTTAAAATTCCATGGTCATGTGGGCTGGCCTGCTTACCAAGATCAAAACAACTATAATTAGAACAAAATTGTTCCAGCAAATGGGATGAGTTTTCACTGCTAACTGGGCAACCTCGCTAAGTGAGCCAGCCTGGCGCTTCATTTAAACAGGGCCCCAAAGATTACTACATTATCTTAGTTGCTTGCAACTTAGTCTGTAAACTGTATTTATAGAAAATGGAATTACAGATGACAAAGACATTCAAGCACTTTGCTACGAAGCTTTAAGTGATATTTATCCTGGACGGGGACTTAAAATTGTACAGCGCTCTAAGGCTTGGAAAATTATACAGGCCTCCTTGAAGGTGAGATAAGACATGTGTTCTATATATAGTGATAGGTGGCTGTGCAATAACTTTGTCATTGGGGCGAACCCCACAGTTTGTGTCTCATCGAGCTCAAGTGCAATGCATTATGGTATGTACGTACACAAAACTTTTCTTCTACAGTGATTTAAATCCTACCGACCTTTCGCCTCACACTGGCTGTTTTGAGAAGTTTCAGTCCTAATTTAAATTTTACCGGCCTGTTCGCTTCTCACAGGCTGACAATTTTTCATGCAATGAAATATATTCTTCAAGCCAAATAACAAATGGATGTTGATGAATGATAATAAAAAAACCTGTCAAAACTACAGTTTACAGTGTCAGTATTATCAAGTGTGGATCAAACGAGAACACAAGCCCATCGCAAGTTTTACTTTACTTGATTTCTGATGCAACACCCGATTTGATTTGGGCTGAATATTCCGTAATTCTGTTATTCTTTTTAAGACTATGAAAACATGTCCACCTTATATGCAAGTTTTTGCAATCTCTATATGTATTAAATGTTTTGTTTACATGCATGCATCTGCTATTTTTAGCTTGCATGCCAAAAACCATGCATTCAACCATTTCTATATTATTTATCTCAATGTTTCATACATGAAAGATTGAAAAGACTGCATTTTCAAAAATGTGCTTAATGTTTTAACAAAATATCAAATATAATGTGCTGAATGCATTCAAGAAAATGGACATGCAATGAACATGCCTTTAATATACATCCTGGATAGAAATACAATTCCCAACATCTATAATACTATGAGTTTTGCCTTTGAAATTTCGAAAACAGCGCATTGCAATACCAATGATAGTTTAATTAATTAAAGTGCGGAAACAAGAAAGGTTGACATTAGTAATCATTGTTGTATGATCATGCCCCTGGCTATCATTTCTCTTGCTCATGCTCGCCCCATGATGCTTAGCTTTTCCCTAGTACTTGTTGCAGTAAAGATGAAAGGATAGAAAAGCACAAAGTTTAACTTATAACAAAATATGGTTTTTGATGCATTAATGTTTTTAATTTTAGAATGAAAATCAAATTGGAAAAGGTTCATCCTCTATTGAATCAAGATCTGCATCGCCATCATCATTGCTTTCTGCTACATCACCAAGGTCATTGTCACCTTCTGCGACATCAAGATCTTCATCACCTTCTGCGACATCAAGATCTTCATCACCTTTTCCAACATCAAGATCCTCATCACCTTCTGCGACACCAAAATCCTCGTCACCTTATTATACACCACTTGAGCCTGCAGCATTGTCTACTGTGTCTGATGAGGAAATCACAATAACAAAGTGGCAGCAAGCTTTCGGTTCAGTGAAAGAAGAAACTGATATAAATCCATCCGTTTTAATTCAGTC